ACTGTGAAAGCCATCCCTGTAACGGTATGTTGGGAGAGTCTGGGTGAGAGACGTAGTGCAGTTTAGGGACAAAATGTCATACTCAACCTCTGTTCTCCACACTCCTGCCGTTTTCAAAGCAGCCTGCATTCTCTGGAATAATGAGGGAGGTGTGGTGATCAGCTGTGTATTGGGGTGCTGCCTTGTGCGTTGAGGCAACGGGAAGGCCATGGTGTATCAGGCTGGGAATTCCTCAAAGAGAAAGGGGGGGCTTCTGGCTGCAGGTCGTAACTTGAGTGCTCTGTGCCTGCTTTTCCCAAAGAGTTTCTATATTTATGATTCAGCCACTCTGCTTTGCTCTAGTGACCCCCCCTGCAGGGCTGTGTCCAGCTCTGGGGCCCCAACATCAGAAGGGCACGGACCTGCTTGAGCAGGTCCTGAGGAGGCCATGAAGATGCTTGGGGGGCTGGAGCCCCCCTGTGAGGACAGGCTGAGAGTTGGGGGGTTCAGCACTGGAGAAGAGAAGGCTCCGGGGAGACCTTACAGTGGCCTGCCAGGACTGATAGGGGCTACAGGAAAGGGAGGAGGGACTGTATCAGGGGCTGTAGGGATAGGATGAGGGGTAACGGTTTTAAACTGACAGAGGGCAGATTTAGATCAGATCTAAGGCAGAAATTCTCCCCTGTGAGGGGGGTGAGGCCCTGGCACAGGCTGCCCAGAGAAGCTGTGGCTGCCCCCTCCCTGGAAGGGCTCAAGGCCAGGTTGGACGGGGCTTTGGGCAACCGGGGCTAGTGGAAGGTGGCCCTGCCCGGGGAAGGGGTGTGGGACTGGATGATCTTTAAAGTCCCTTCCATCCCAAACCAGTCTGTGATTCTATGGTTATAGCAGCATTAGAAACAGAATTCTGCCTGCTAAACTGATAATTACAAAACTTCATAAAGGTTCAGTATATAATTTTGTTGTTATTATTAAGAATGGTTTCCCCAACAAATATTTTTTACTGACAGTTTTTTCTTGGGGTAAGAATCTAACACTAGCTGTCTTACTGACTTTTTTCACACTTCTAAATGATTTTTTAATATGAGAGCTGCTTTAGTTAGGCTCTTTTAACCAGACTGCCTGTTCGGACACACATTATGGAACGTTTACAACTTTCCCTACTTGTGCTTGTATTGGAACATAAATTCACTGAATGTTATTTGCACGTTATTCAGTGGTTTAAGGCTGTGACCTTTCGGATGGTGTGGTGGACCAGATTAAAGAGTGTGGTTAATTAATTTGGAAATGATAAATGCATAAGTATAGCCAGCGAATTATTTGGTGCTGTTTAAATGGCAATATTGGAACACCCTCCAGGGTGATAAGAACAGTGGCTCAAAACAGGCTTTGTTCTTGCACTATAAAGGGACCATTCTGGCTCCCAGTGCCGAGTGCTGGAATTCCTCTTTGCACACCCAGTGCAGGGGAAGAGCTCAAGCCCAGTCCATCCACCGATTTCTAGTTCAAGACAGAGAGGTAGATTTTTATTTTTCTTAGTATTTACACTACAAGCCTTATAAAAATGTGCATGTTGTTTATATTAGAAACCTCTATTGGGACCCACCATGACAAATTTAAGTGACAATATTGTCGGACACGAACGGAATCGGTTTGCAGTACAAAACACCACGTGATTTCCTCCCGGGAATGGGTACTTTCGGAGTTACAAAGTTTGCCAACCTGATCGCATCTTTAGACACAGGGGTTAGTCCCTGTTCTGCATCTCTGCTCCTTTCTGACTTACTGATTTCTTACTGTAACAGCCCGTGTCTTCAGCTCTTTAGGGAATCACTCTGCGCTCGCCCTCCTGTCACTTCAGGCGCCTTTTAGACAGTTGTGTGTCCTCACTAGGCATTCCCCTGGGGAGAGTCATAGTAAAGCTTGCTATGAGCAAGGCGTCTCCCTTCATTTTCATCTCACCGGACAGTAGCTGTGAGGATCAGTAGGCTCCTCAGGTTTAATGTTACGTGGGATGTTTTATTTGCTATTGGTGAGACTTTTTCAGTGAGGATTCTCAACCTTTGGCTTCTCACTTTCAGTTTATTAACAGGCTCCTGCAATCAGTCTTACAGCTGTCCCAGTCTTAATGGAGTTTTGTTTCAAGTCTGTAGGCTACATATAAAGACTTAAAGGGTGATTCTGCTGGAAAAGTGTCTTGAAAGGAGAGATGTGTGGGCCTGTTTTGACAGAGGAAAAGGCTTTTCCTTGCTTTTTAATAAAGAAACAGAAACATGCAGAACAGTATTTCTGAAAGACATTAAACCCAGTTTTGAAGTTCATACACCTCCTCTGCTGTAGTATAGTTTATAGTGATTTATGTGACAGAAAGGGATAATTAGCGCTACATTCATTGCCAGGGGTAAAATGCCTATCTGTGTGTGTGTGTTCATTTTCCATCTCTTGTTATCGTAGCACACCAGCTGTCCGGAGCACCATTTACAGGGACCTGTATGTGATACAGAAAACCAGGAGTCTGCACAGGGCCTAAAGGCGTTAACACTATTAAAGACAATATCAATTTCAGAACTACAGCCCCAATCTTGTTTCTTTTCCATGCATCTGTGATATCAAACAGTCCCAAGAAGAAAACAGAACTATGTTGAATTCTTTTCTAGTTGCATGAAATTATTGTTTTGCGCCCCATTTTGTACGTCGGCAGCCCTTTATTAATGTGGTAGGTGCAAGTAGGCTAGATCTTCCACATGAGAAAAGACTGAACTTAACCCCGAAGAGACTGAGAAACTCTTAATCATTAATTAGATGTCATGCACAGGTAGAACCCTTGCTGACAGATACGTAATTTCAGTAGGTGTGAAAATAGGCAAGAAAAAAAGGACAACAGTATTGCCTTTTTAGGTGCAGTTTGTGTGGTCATACCAGATACATCCGTGCTTTCTTTTCCATTTGTTTCTGGGCTCTGCCAGGGGTCCCCTGGGAATTTCCCTGAGCCATGTGTCAGGTGTTGACAGAAGGATTGCTAATTTTGCTAAATTTTGGTAATGTAACACACTGTCACTTGGTAGAAGCACTTCTGTAGCTTCTTGATTTTCTTCTTAATATTAAATATATATGAGATTCGTGTTTGATAGCTCTAAAAATCTTTCTGTAATGATGACTGTGGCCATGGGATGAAACAAGGAGGTTTCAGTATCCAGCCCCCCCCCAATTATGTTTGAGTGTTGGAAATTAACTGTCATGCTTTGTCTCTCTGGTTTCATTTATTTTACCAAAACACAACATCTATGGAGAAAAAATGAGTTAAAACATTTCCAAAGTGTTTGCCGACTTTCTGGATAATGAATTGAACTTTAATATATTAAATACAAAATAGTAATAAATTACATACTGCACAGTTTCTTACAGAGTTTTTATTAAGATCAAAACTGATTTGTTCAGACTAGATTTATATAAATAAATCACAGTACATTTTTACTTGTGTTCAGAAGGTTGTCATACATATTATAAAATTAAGAAATTTCTTTGTCCCTCAAACCATCACTGCAAAAGGAATCATGCATTATTTCTACTGAATGAACAAAATGCCCACCTAATTGAGAGAGCCTTGATACAGGTATGGCTCTACTCTCCAAAATTAGACATGAAACATAGAGATTACCAGGACTATTTATTGAACAAGAAATAATATAGTACAATGTCCATGTGTTATTAAAACCAAAAGTATACCAAAACAACACACCTCTCTTCACACACCTTTGCAATGGGTATTAAAAATGACAGCTGGCCGGCATGCAACTGAGTCAAACGTTCCAGTTTTACAATGTCTACCTTTGAGCAAAAGAAGGAGGAACTAAAAAAACCCCAGACAAAACGAACATACAAAGGAACAGCCCAGATGCTTACAAGCCCTCGTGTCGCCTTCCCCTCTGTGCCACACGCGCTGTGTTCGGTCAGGAGGTGAGGAAAGCCCCGGGGATACCTTCCCCGAATCGTGTCCATCGCCGCCTCTGCCTCAGTGCCCTTTAGGACCTTCAAGGAGATGCGGGTCCTCTCGGAGAACCGCCGGAGCCTGCAGAACGTGCGGCTGTGGTTCCTTGCCCAACCCACTGTATCAGAAATTACCTGTAAGCGCAGCTCTTGAAACTACTCAGCCTTGAACGTGCGGTGCCCTTAGAGGATAATTCACACCTTGCGCAGCTCGGATCACGCGGTGTAAGGCTGTCACTTCAGAACAGGATTATGGTTGCAAGCAAGGCCTTGCGCTAATTACAGCAAGATTCAAGGTGACACTGTTATGAAGTGTGTCCCGCTGCCATTTCCCCCAGCACAGAGAGCTTCTATTATTTTCTACAGTGTTGTGGATTACTTTCTTCGCATCTTTTTTTTCCTTCTAGATAACAAAGCCATTGTTTTCTCACTCGGTACCGAGATGTAATCATTTGACAATGCACTGTTCTAAAGGGAAGAAAGCATTTAATTGACGACACTTCAGACTGAGTCACCTAGTCTATGGTTTTTTTACTTCTTTCTCTTCAAACAAAATGCATTAATAGTAATTTCAGATAGATTTCGAACTGGGTCAAACAGATTTTTCAACTGAATTTCCAGTCTCTTTCTCCCTTTTCAACTACTGTGTGTTACTTTTAAACTAAAAGAGGGTCTGCAGCTAATTTTTTTTTTTCAATGGCAAATAGGTCCCCTCAGTGCTCGAATGTTGCCAAGTGATAAAATGTAAATATGTTTTTTGTACCCCTGACTTTGGGTGCTCATGTTAATAGAGCTACGTGTCATGTTTGGTGCTTAAAACCAAGCAAATTAAGCCAAACCAACCAAACAAAAAAAACCCCACCAAGAACAAAATCAACAACAAAAAACCCCTCCAACAATCTTTCCCTCAAGCCAAGAAGGGTGGATTAACATAAACTCTTATTTTTAATTCTTTTGCATTGCCCTTTGCTGTTGTTTCACTTTGTATTGAACCAGCAGTTCCCCTACTGGTAGTTAAATTGAGCCTCTTTATAACAAGTTTCTCATGTGTACTGCTTTGGTGTTTTATGGATCCACTGGCACAGAAAGCTGAAATGGGCATTGACTGGTAGGAACAGTTTGAGCACTAGGTGTTTTATATTACATGTTTTCTTTCCGTTCTTGTGGTCCCTGCTTCCCCAGGGATGGCAGAATTGATTGAGATGCATGTCTGTTTGTCCACTGCCAGGATTATTTACAGGGAAAAACAAAACGAAAAGAGAACAGAAACGCTTTTAATGTCTTGTGATTTCGGTGGAAACAGATATAAGAAATATTTGAGCACTCAACTGCAAAAAGGTTGGGCTGCGAGTATTTTGGCACGGGAATATCACACAACCGCCCGTCGTACTCTGCCTCGGTGGCAGTGGTTTGGAAGGCTTTGCCGCTGACACGCCCTGCTTTTTCGTAGCACGACATCTGAAATGGTGGCTTGTTGCGGAAAACTAAAAGTAACATTTTAATAGCACATTGTTAATGAGTGGAGTGGGATTCAGATCTTGCTGAGACGCATTTCTAAGGGATTGCCTTTCCTATTTTAGAATTATGATACTTGTCGTACAGCATAATTATGCATTCACAGGGAATAAGAAAACAAATGAGGGCTGCAGCTTTGAAATTATTCTTGTGAGCCTTCTACTAATTTACCTCTGAGAATCAGTTCAGAAAAGAAAGATGGAACAGAATTGGGATTGTAGTTTTCACTGGGTTTCCAGGTGATTTTGTAGCAGTATGTCCTCTGTTCCTTCCAGTGTTGTACTGTACTGCAGTCCAAAGACAGCAGAGGTCTACTGGTCCACCAAAACCATAATGTGAAAATATTTCAGGTCTAGGGGATGACATTGGTTAAGTGGAGTATAAAGGTGAAGAGTGAAGCATCCACATATAGAAAATAGCTGTCATTCCATATATGCACTGCTAGAATAAGGCAGGAATTTGTAAAAAGCACATCATAACAGTTTGCAAGTCATGAGTCAGCAAGAATTAGGGGAATTTAATAAAAAATTAGGTTTTCTTCCTCATCCCTAAGCCTTTGAGGTATGCTAGATTCCACTTTAAATGCTCACTGAACAAAGATTATTATTATTTTTTGTTATAGAGCTGTGTTCAAAATCATTCTCTTGATGCCAGACCCTTAAGCATTAAATACACCGAGCATGGTAATAAAATAAAAATCCACTGGCCATTATGATACCACCTTTCAGTTGACGTCCCTTTGAGTTGCTAGAGGCAAATCTTGGAAAGGCTTCTGCACTCTTCCATGGACGCAGCATGAGGCTGCTGAAGAGGTTTTCCTTTTTACAGCAGTTTCTGCTGCTGACACTGCGGCGGGAGAGCCGGCAGCTGCCCGCCCTGCTCTCCAGGCAGGGATGCACGTGGAAGGATTTGTCCTGGAAATCAAAGAACTCGACTCCAAAGGAAGAGTTCTCCTTCTCTGCTCATGCTCATCTCCCCATGTTGACTCCTGGGAGATGAGCTTGGGTAAAGAGTGCAGGATTTTGCCTGAAGTGAGGATCATGCATGAGCAGATATGAACATGGTACCGTGTCACTGGCCTGCTGATACAAAGCTTCGATTGAAAGTGCAGTGAACTAGTTTTGCCAGGGCAACTTTGCATTTTTCATTTTTCTGGAAACGTGCAGTTACCATCTGAAATGTTGCCTGGGCAGGTTTTGAAGAGTTGTTTAGTTTGCCTTGTCTATGGTAGCTGTATTCTCCATGGCATGGCATGAAATTTTTGAAATCTACTGTACTTTACAGGACTTGTGCTTCATAGCTGCAGCACACATTTACAACGGATCCAAGATTTCCTGCAAGTGCCAAGCTGCACTTTACCCACTAGCAATTCTGATTTTCTGGAAAATCTTCATCGATATAGTTTGTAAAATGAACTTTTTCAGATTTTGGATCAAAATGTTAAATATTTTCTTCAATCTGCGAATGCATATTTGTGTCAGCAAAATTGGAAATCCCAAATGCCTGGTGAGAATTCAACACATGCAAGACATGAAGGGATGCGTGTGCACATAAACTTATCTGAACTGTATCTAAAGACCAGGGCTCCCTATCTGTAAGTACACAGCAGGCAACTAGATTGTATAAAATACCCATATTTTGGATTTGTGTTTTTTTTAAATAAAAATCCCGGTGTAAAAACTTCAATCAAATTCTCTCTAGAAAAGTCTGAAGGAAGAGAGAACTCCATCCATGGCTAAGTAAGTGGCCAAAATTTATCCCAGGGGTTCTTGTTCCGGGGCGTAGAGTTTATTATGTGAAAGAGTTCAGTGTTTTGATTTTTTTTTTCTTTTTTTTTTAATGGTCAGAATTTTTCAGCATTTACAATATACCATCATGTAAAGTAGCCCTGTTAATTCTACTGCAAGTAATAAAGAAAGTTTTCACAGGCACGATAAATTAGGAACAGCATTTTAAGATGACACTGTGTGTGTGTGCAGATGCATGCACATGTGAGTGCCTGTTTGTATGATAAAGCGTAGCCACCTCTGATATGCTTTCAACTTTTTGCAGCATCGTGGACACAACTAAGACTGGAAAATCATCCTCAAAGGTTGAGGACTAACAGCCTCCATGTTATACAGATGGTTATCTTCTTTCTCAAAGAACATACTCTCATTACAAATACCATATGTATCTTGGTCTCACCCAACAGAACTTTTTTTTCAGATGTGAAGGATTTCTGCAGAGAACCATATTAATTCGTTATGATGTAAGGTATAAGGAGGCACCAACTGAGACCGAGGACACAACCTGTCTTAAAAAAAGAAATGTCCGATGACAATCATTCTTGAAAAATAAAAAGATTTAGAAAGCTATCCATTCAAAATACCGCACCTGTTTTTTTGCAAATACAAGAACTGTATTTGTTGCCTCTCATATTTGTTGGTTTTCACTGCCATCGCGCTGCTTGTAAAACCTGGGTTACTCTAACGAACAGAAAGTACGACTTGAATTTGGGTAATGCTTACGACCATACAAATAATCTATCAGTAGCAATAGTCAGCTGGAAAATTAATGCCACAAGTGGATAACATTACGCTACTTGAAACCAATAGCTCTTCACAGAGTAGAAGACTGAGGGTCCTATTCAGCAAATATTCAGGGTCCTATGGATGTGGCCACAGAGGTTCCAGAAGCTCTCGCTGAGTCTAATCCTGATTCAGGAACCAAAATGATATGCTGTGTATATATTTCTCTGCACAGCCTGGATGCGCTGGACACCCTCCCCCACTTGATTCCTGGGAAGGAAAAAAAATATGTCTCTGTTTAGCTCAGTGACATGAAAAGCAATCCACAGTAATGAAATCTAAAGAAGTTAGCCAGGCATGTATGAAAAGAACAGGATGCCTGTAAAAAGGGAAGAGCTGTCAAAACCTAATTGTGGGCTCTGGCTGCAATAAAATCTATCAAAGAGGGAAGACAGGTTGGATATAAGGATGTAGACAACTTCTGCTAAGAGACACTTCTCGTATTCAGGGGAATGGTCACCGTTACACTACTCCTCACGTGCATTGTCATTCCTATCAGTGCTTGGCTACAGCAAGAGCTTGGCGATGTGTTTTCTACACCCAGCTCCCAAATGCCCACCCATTTCAAGGGTGGCACTTCAGGCAGTAGCTAACGTCATTGAGGGCACAAACATGTAGGCAGAGCTCCCCCACTTAACTCGATCTTCTTTCACAGCCTACTTGCACGTTGGCAGTGCCCATGCTCTGAAAAGGCACGGAGCCTTCCCTTCGCACCGCAACCGAGCCCGCGAGCACTCCAAGGTCTCCCTGCTGCAACTGCGCTGCTGTGGTCCCCGGGCACCAGTAAATGGACAAAGGGCAGGACTGTGGTATTTTTGCCATTTTGAGCATCTTCCTATTGCCTGACAATTATTTATGGAATTACCTAGGGTTAGTGCTTTACAACCAAGTAGGAAGAGTCCTCAGTTGCATTCTGATAACCCGGCTGCACTCTGATGCATAAAGTATACTCAGAGAGGCTACAAACTGCCTGCCTCGGTATGTTAAGTGCTTACGGCATCGCTCGTGGCTTGTTATGAGTACTATGGTCTTTCCTGTCCTTCAGCACTGGGAGTAACATCGTGGCTGTTCATAGTAGTTCTTTTCACTGGGATTACTGCCTGACTTTAGCCAGTGACAGCAACAATAAAAGTCAGTCATCGTAACTCTTAGGAAGCAATTTAGTTAGGTCTTTGATGAATTGTTGTGTCTCATGACTCAGGATTAGTATTCCCTGTATTGGGGAGAGGATTAGACAGAGGGATTAAAAGGACATCTTTACCCCACTGGACTCTGTGGAATAGCCCCTGAGGATATGGCTAAGAAAGAGTTCAACAGGAATGCCAAATTTCTGCTGAATAGGTTAAAAGGGTGAGGAAGCCTCTTCGGCAGCCATCCAAGCGCAGAAGACCTGCATAACATTTCTGCTGAATAGGGCCCTAAAGACAAAAAACAAAACAAAACAAAACAAAAAAAACATAGGAACCTTGAAAAGCTTTTCGGATTGTGTCGCTTCTTATCAGCGCCTCAGATCTCCAGAAACACTTAAACATTATTTTTTTTTTCAGTGTGGTTAGGCATCCTTTGAGATGTGGCATGGATGATATATTGTTACAAGAGAAGAAGTAAAATTTAGTTGCTATATATAAAAAAAATAGGTCTTGGTTGTTCTGAAACAAGATCCATTTCTTTATATCAATTATCAGTGAAAGTTACCCAAGATCTTATTTTAAAAACAAAACCAAACCTTTAGTTCAGCGTATAACGTTTGGTGTTTTCATGTATATTAAAAACATTAATAAGTTTCTGTCTCCCTAAAATTGAAAGGAGCAGACTTCACTTGCATGTTCTATTTGACTTTTAGTATCAGTGTTTCCGAGCCCTTTGCTAGGATTTAGCGCATGCACGTGGATCCTGGTTTTGTTCATAAAATGTTATCCAACTTCTAATGCCGTATGGAGGAATATGCACAATTACGGTAACGGGGAAGCAAGAAATAAAAGTCTTACCTCTGCAAGAGGATGCCAGTGAGCAATGGGTTTCCGAGGGTATGAGAGCATTTCGTTCCAGTGGTCTCGACCTAGACTTTCTGCATCGTTGCCTACTTGACATACTCCAATGACCTCATTGTGACCTACACTGTGAAAATGTTCCATATTTTTTTCTTAAAATTTTACCTTTAGAACCACACCATTTATATATTTCATTAGAAACATCAATCATGGATTTTTAGAATTGATTCTTGCCTGAAAAATATAACGAACTATAAAATACGTAGGTTTGCTCTTCACGTTTCCCACCAATCAGAATGATTCCATATTTTCCCCATTACAGCATACACTGTGTGTCTGTGTGCGTTTGTTTCTTATTTTTGCATGAAGAACGTAAAAAAGTTCTTTGCCTGTGTTCTGTAATTAGTTGCAAATACAGGTAAACACTAAGCCATCATTTCAGAAGCAGAGGCATGTGTCTAAGGGGTTAGCGTAATCGTGCACAAGCAGAACATCAGTGCGTGGACTGGCTGATTATATGTTCAGTTACTTCAGTTCTGACAAATATATATGCAGCTCCGTTATGTCAGTTATGGATGCAAATCTAGATTTTAAAATTTAGAAAGGATATTCTGCCTGACGATACCGGAAATTTTAGCTTTCTACCAAAGTCAACATGACATTAATTTCCCATTCGTTAGGGAAAAAAAAGGTAACGTTGTTTCTGGATGCAAATCTACTGTGCAAGATTTTATAAGCCAATAAGATGACGTTATTTTACAGCTACAGGTATCTCACCGGTCATAATCCATAACAGCTATCGACAAGTTAATTTGGTCAATGTTTTCTGGAGGGACGTCAAAGACTATGGCTTCATTGTAAACGGGATTAAGGGTATTCCTCTTGGTGGAAGTTTTTCTTTTCTTTAGTCGCCTTCCTTCACACATTAAAGAAACCTTCACGTAGGGATCTGTGTGAATCATAAGAACAAGGTTGGTTTTCTTTGGTTGTTTTTAAGCAAACATAAATGGAAAGTGAAGGGAGCAGCCTTCTTGTATGCCCATACCTGCTGGTGGCATTAGTCACTCGGACCTGACTGGAATTTGAGCTTCTTTATTACCACGGAATGCCCGGGAGGCAGTGGACCTTTGAAAGCTTTACCTGGTTCACTGCTTACAATGAACAATTTAGGTTCAAGAAGCTCCTTGCTGTGTACCAACTTCTCAAAGGGTATTAAAATATCCACTGAACCGTGTTATACGTGACTGTTTTATACAGCAACCTGCGTATCAGCCTATTTATAACAGCCTGATTACTTGTACAGATTTGTAGGACAGACAGAAGATAACAATATTTTACATAGTGGAATTTACTGATGTATGCTTAAATATAATTCGAAGTGTAACAGTTAGTGGCTTATACTTCTCAAGAGAACTCTTAATTATTTTTGAACTCCTGAGTGTAGCAAAAAACCCTGTTTCTTTGTAGCTCATTGCTGGGAGCTCTGTAACTCCCTGCTAGCACTTAGATCTGTCTATGAACTCCTATTTAAATTAGTTTTTTGTTTTCATCATCAAATTTTGAAAAGGTTGCTGGAAGGAGTCTGGGATGATCACTGTTTTGTCCATATGCCAACAGCAGCAGAACTGGCTCAGAGGCTCTTGGAGACTGTCAGAGAGGGTCAGTCTGCCTCTGCCATAGCTGTAACCAATAGTCTGCTGTACAAACAAATTCCCGGTGTTACGAACGCAGTTTGGCCAACTCATGCTGTTCTGAATCACGGTGGCTTTACAAATAATCATCTTGCAGTCTTTTTAAGAGCAGATTATTTTATACTGTTGGTTGTAACCGAGCAAACTAAAATATATTATTTATTTCTCAGAAACTCCTGTACTCAAGAACTCGCAGTGTAAGAGCCCTCTTCTCAAAAATCAGTCTGGGATTTGACAGTGCTGAATTCTGTGTCTCAGGAGGGAAATGGGACAGAAATCCACACTGAGCATTAAATTCATTCCTACCTGATGCTCCTGTGATATCCATTGCCTTTAAATTTCTTGCCTTTATTATTGTAATAGTTAGTCTACCAGCTGTTGGAAGGTAGCAGAGTGAAAACATCAGGTCACCAAGATCCACGTTATCCTGTTCCAAGGAAAGAGAGGTACCATGAAGCGATAATAACAATTTCCCCTACCTGTAACAGGAGCTAAAGATAAAAATATACCTTTGGGGATCTACAGTTATACAAGCAAAAGCTGAATCCTCATTCTGAAACGCATCTGAAAAAACAGAGATCCATCTGGATGGAAGATTCAAGTTGCTACTTTTGTTGTTAGACCACCAAAGTTCTCAAGTGTAAATGTGGTTATAGTTTCTAGCACTCAGTCCTTGGAGATTGAAATGCTGGAGTTTTAACCCCAAATTCAGGTTTGACATGTGTTTGATCCCCCCAGCCCTTCCCAAAGGGGGGTGAGGTTCCCTTTAGGCTCCCCCCCAGGGTGGGGCGGCCTGGCAGACAGAGCCGTTGGGTCAAGGAGCCCCAGGGGTCCCACACTGAGTCACCCAAGGTCAGGGGTCCCCCGTAGGAGAACAGCGGGGACCCCTCGCAGGAGCAGGGCAGGGTCTGTCTGCGAGGGGGACGCCCTGGGCAGAGTTCCCTGTTGGGGAAGGACCTCCCGCCGCCCGGGGACTGGGCTCCAGGCAGGTCTGGCTTTTGTAAACGCGGCTCTGTAGGGATTCGGGACGGGGCTGCCTTGGTCTGATGTGTTGGGCTGTTGCCCTGGTTGTCTCCCGTCCCCTCTCTGGGAGACTCTGTGTCACTGTTCATCGCACCATCGCTGGTCGGGCGGTGTCGTTGTTGGGGTCGTTGGGATTGATGTCGATTAGGCGTAACCCGAGTGACTGGTTTGTGCCCCCAGCGCTCACCCATGGACCGACCCTTTTGTGTCAAGTCCAGTCTGGTTATTGGTTCATCCTTAGGCTGGCTCTGTCCTTTATGCTACGCCTGATAATTAGCAAAAGAGAGATAAAACACATTCACGTGATGAGGTACAGCCTGAGACACTGATATGCCTTTGTTCTGTTTTATGTTTTGTAGTGATTTCTGTGTATCATTGACAAGCTGCAACAGACCTCTGTGCCTTCTGGTCTGCAGAAGTATACCCATAGTTTCACAAAAAAAACCCCACTGGCTGTGCGGGATAAAGTTTTATGCGACTCTCAAGCTTGCGTAAACTCAGGTGTGATAGGTGTGGTCATGACAGTGATGGGACAGTCTCCACTAGAAGCAGAGGAAGGACACTCCTTCCTGTGCATTGAGCATCGCTCAAGTAACCTTTCCACCTGCTCCATCGATAGAATGATTTGCAACCCCTTCCTGTGTCAATGGCATCAGGGTTTCAGAAAAGTAGTAAAAAATGAGCAAACCCTCTTTAATGTTTTAAAGCATTGGTATTTTTAATGTTTTTTTTTTTTTTTTTAGGAAATCCAGCTCTTTTATGAAAAATCAGGTGAATAAGTATCTTATTAAATGATTTCTGGGATCTGAGTTGCAGTTTTTTGACTGAGCAGTCACCTGGTAGTTTCATAGACCTATCTCCTGTACCCTAATATTTGATTCTTGACTGAAAAAAATTATCCTGGCGAGTAAATTCAAAGCTAAGTTCTAGGTTTTATAGGAAAGGGAAATACAGCTGATGTGGAACACAGGTATCTTGCCCACTTTTATGCAACAGCTTCTCTCCTTTCCCAGGTTGTCTACTTCCATGTCACCCACCAAAAAATCAAGGGTGGTGGAGGACAATAGGTGAGTGAAAATACCTTGAACCAGCACCTAAGAGATTAGTGTTTGTCTGTGAGTAGACCAGTGTCCAGAACCTGTGCAGTCATTTTACACAGCTTCACGAGTTAGCAGGGAAGATGTGCAGGACAGAAGGAAATGCTGTCATGGAGCTGTAGAGAAAAAGTTATTTGAAAAGGGTTTGCTAGAGGTCACTTGATCCAACCCCTTGCTCAGGAGAGGCATCTTCACTTTAGTTCTCAGCTCATGAAAAAAAACAAACCAAACCATGTGCATTCATTCAGAAATAGGTCCTGTCCTTGTGCAGTTATTGGAGAAAGATGCTGTCAAAGGAAAAAGGTGATATTACGGGCCCTTTGTCAGTAATAACTAGCTTTTAACCCTGACTTGACCTCACTAACTATTATCTTTTCCATTCTGAAGATCAGTGTTTCCCAGTAGCTGTAAAGCTAATAAAGGTTGTGACAACATCACGATGGCTGACATGACTCACCCCGTTCAGTGTCCCTTGATGGCTCACACTTAGAGGCAGACCCGCTGCAACAAACTCTGTGTCACTTTGACTCACTTTGGCTGTGGGAGGATCAAAGTGCTGTTTGGGAAGGTGATGCTGTAAGAAGTCCTACAGGCTAAAGTGATGTCAGCACATACAGGGGGAATCTGACTAACGCCTGCACTTCACGTTACAGGAGGGATAACTGATCTCTAAAATTTTCCCGGGGGTCAGCTAGACCTTGATACCTATAACCCGGGCAGCAGGAAGCAAAGATTTCCCTTGTCCTTCCCATGGTGAGGAAGAACATCTTCCAGCACTTAAATGGGCTTCCCCGGCTCTGAGGTGCTGATATTTGTAGCCGTGGAATTCTCTCTCATGCTGCAACTCTGAGGGGAGCAGAGTTTCTTAAGCCATTTGAAGAAATTATTGAGTGGAGCCACCTTTTGGCAATTCGGGGAATTTGTCAGTCTGGCAAATTTTGATTAAGAGGTTATTTTTCATGAATTGGTCACGAACTTTTCGGAGGAGATACCATTGTTGAATCCCTTGTGTTTTCCCTGACCATAAAGAAGCCCATCAGGCGCCTGTTGTTTTAACTGTGTATCTTGGTATTAGACACTGTCAACCGTGGCACAGTCACTCTGTATTCAGCTCCCGTGCTCCATGTGGTGAGGAGGTAATTCTTTATGGGATACACTAAATGCTTTACTCTTACTACCAAATACAAGAGTTTCCGTTCCAGACTTGATCACCCTGCATGAACACTTAAAACCTTTTATCAATTCTTATCAAGAAGTTCATAGGTAAATGAATTATTACGCAACTTTTTTTAGATAAAATGCCAATAAAAATGTTGACCCTCTGCATAACTGGTTAGGAAAGAATGGATCCCATGTGTTGAATGCTGTGTTAGGAATTAAGCCATAATATATTTATCCACAAGCTTTGCCTTACATCTGAAAAATAATCGTCGCCTACACCGTGATGTATTTTTTAGTGAATGCTGCAATGACAGTAATACTTTGTCAATGGTTTTTCAAAAATTGCACTGGGTATTATACAGGAAAAACATTATTAAACTGGAAACAGAGCCTGTAATTTCTTCAGTCTTTGCCAGTTGTAGAAGTTGTAGGTGTTGTAGCAGTACATCACAGATGACTCTGAGATTCAGCCTGTTTGTAAACCAGTACTAGTAGTAATCTAACCGTGGCAGTCTCGGAATGTAATTGAAGGAAAGCTTCCAGGCAGCAGCAGGAAAGAGAAACTCTTTGGCATGCAAATCCTTCTCTTGGTCTGAAAAAGAAGGCCTGTCTTCTCACACTTTTGTTTTGATTTGTAGGGAATTAACTTCTACTCCATAATGCTGGTTACTTGTTAATGTTTTCTTAATTTTGGAAAGCTGGATTTACTAAGAGTGAGACTTTCCCAGTGCCCTGCCTTTTCCACCCTGCTTACCCCTATTTTCTGTAATCAAAGGGCAATATTTTTAACTGTTCCAAACATGTACATTTTGCTGCTGTGGCTTCAAGGTTCAATTTAATGGAGGAATGCTCTTCAAAGAGTACCGCAAACCATGAGTGCACAGAGAGTTTGCATGTGTGCATCTCTGGGTAACTGCAGTGGAACAGGCACCGTGCTCTGACTGGGAATCACTGGTGCCCCAGGCATGACCATCCCATCCAGAAAACACGGGGCCTTACTGTAAATTCAGTTTCTTAGCAGAACCAAGGTCTATGTAACAGAGCACAGAGAGGATCATTGCACATCTTCACTGGTTTAAAATCCCCGAGCCACATGGCTTAAGCCATGGCTTGTCACTAAAGGCGTGCTGTGTTATCAAGAAATAGCTCTAAGGACCATAATTAACAAGCATAGAGGGTAAGATCTTCTGCAAGGATTATGCTTCTGTTTGAATTGAGTACTTATGCCTGACTGTGTATGCTTGACAAAATGTGACAATAGTACACCGCCAGAGACATTTTGAAATCCCTGTTTAGGAAAGATTTCATAATATTGTAGGTTATCAGGTCATGCATTTTGTACACTCCAGATTTGTGTCTATTTAGTGTGATAGGAACACCGTGCTGTGCGTGTTAACAGTTCAACCAGGACAACCCTAACAGAACCAGACCAAAAGGCTCCTTAATAACTTACAAGAAAATATTCAGAAGATAGTTAAATGACAATAGTAACTTATTTATATGAGTATAGCCTATATTATTTTTCTTTTGGTTCTGTTCAGCAGGAAGCATATTGTAAGAGCTGAACAAATGCGCTCTCATAAACATACCAAAGGTCCAAACTCCTCTCCCATTGTCCTCAAACCCCATCCACTTTCAGAGGAAGAAAGCACTACCTATTTGTTCTTCCTGAGTCATTTAAGACTTTATTGATAAATTATTCTGTAATAACATCCTTACTTTAAAAAAGCTTCCGTTCAGTAAACTTCTTACACATACTTATTTTTAAACCTGCCTAAATCATATGGCTTTTACTGGCTTTGAATCCTTTACATAGATTTTCAATTCCCAACAACTAAAGTGTTTTGCTGAATCTGGGCCTAAGGGTGAATCTAATGAATTATCCTGTAGCTATCAAGATAGAGATAATGTCTTAATTTGTTCCAAACTAAATTGATGAACTGGGGAGATAGTCTGCATTGAGCTAATGGAAATTAGTAGAGACATGACTGGACAAGCTGGAGTACTTGTTTATGTGTGTGTGGCCACACGAAAACAGCAATGAGGCATTCCGAAAGTGAAACTTCTGCAGAAAGTTAATGTAAATAATTTTTAACTTCCTCATCAGTTATTAAGAGGGGAAAGGAGTGTGTACAGAGTTGTTTCT